GGCGACCTGGAATGGACAATAAAAGAGGGGTGATAACCTCATCCCTCAAGTCTTTATAAAGAGTGCAAGCCAGAAGGGCATGCACCACCAGAGAAAATGTTGGAGGGTATGCATAGGAACATACAAAGAGCTTCTTGGATCAGGCCCATGGCCCTTGTGGTCCAGCAACCTATGCTCACAGTGGCCAACCAGATGTCTGTGGTAAACCTGCAAGCATGATCAGAGCATGTGCACGCACTCTTCCTGTAGTTCCTAGCAACTGGTATTCAGAAGCAAACTGCCTCTTTCCTGAGGATTTCTCCCCCATCCCTATCTACAAGCAAGCAGAACCTTTGAAGGCAGCCTGGAAGGAGACCATTGCATGGGGAGACATTGGACATGTGACTGGCATGTGTGTCCCCACCCCTCTGCAGAGGTTTAGCCCTCACCTATGCAGGCAAATGCCTGAAAAGCCTTTTAGATGTGGCCCAGCCCCCCATCCCAGCCTTGTAAGAAACTCTCAAAAACAGAAATCATCTACTCTGGCCAGCACTGGATCACCAGACTCTCTGGCAGGAGTCTTCCGCACTTACTGGAAAATACTGGGGGTTGAATTTAAGATCTTATACATGCAAAGCTCGTCCTCTTCCACTGAGCTATGGCCCCCTCTTTGGCTCCTAGGCAGAGCTTTAAGTCTGTAACTCTGCTGCAGTGAGGCAGGCTGGCTCCCTTTAGTATCAGCTGAAAAGCTCTGCTGTGCAGTGTTTACCATGAACTCATTTAAATTCCACTTTGTTTATATTTGATAGGAAATTAGCATTTGCTCATACAAAGGAAAAGTGTTCCCTACCTTGAATACTGTCTCATTCAGCACTTTATTCAGACCCAAATTAAATCCCCAAAGCCTTTAGAGTTTCTAAGGGATTAATAGCACTGATATTATGCTATTAAACGTTTTATTGGAGAGGGGGAAAAATCTGTACTCCTAGCATTTGTTAATTAGCTGGTATTTGCAGAGGTAACAGCACGTAGCTCTATATAAATTAGGCTTGTCAACCAATTATAGTGTTTTCAGTTTATTAAGCATCTTCCTTTTAAATGATCAATCAGTTAATAATTAAATTGATATACATTTGTATATTGTCAAAAGATCAATATAAGGGCTTTTTAGAGATAATCTCCCTCCATCAAGGAAACAGAAAAGATGTGACTGATTATTAGCAAGAAAGGTCATCTTCAATATCTTCTTTCATTCCCTATTGCAACAACACACCTGAACTGAAATAGCTTTTAAATTTTAAGTGCTGTATTTAACTCAGTGCTCCTGAGTAAAATGTGCTCCTGGCAAAAATGGACTTCACCAACTAAGGCTTTAGTTGATTAACCTATCCATTAATAAAATATAGCCCTAATAAAATGAACTTTGTTTCATTTAATTTGAATATTTACATCCTACTTTTCTTTTCTGTGGAAGGAACAACATGCAGAACAACATCAAAAGTAGCAATACACAGAGTTCCTAAACTTACCTACCTACCTATTAGACACATTAAGATGCAACACTAAAGCAGGGGTGGGAAATGTGTGGCCAACAAAGCAGTCCTGGCATACCAGAGGGCCTAACTTGGTTCCCAAGGCTGTTTCCCCAAAGCCACACCCACCTGTCAATCAGATGGTGTTGCTGGTGGATGCCAGCTTAAAGGCAGGGTACCGCAGACACCTGCAGAGAGCATCACTGAACCTTCCACTCATCAGCTGGTGAGCAGAGAGGGTCCAGTCCTGCTGGGTGCTGCTGCTCCAGCACGTTCATGGCAAGGAATGCACTGGTGAAACAGATCTTTCTCCCCCGCCCCGCCCCTCATGTCACAGATCAGCTTTGAAAGGTAAGCAGAATCATATACCGTATTTTTCGCTCCATAAGATGCACCTGAACATAAGACGCACCTAGTTTTTAGAGGAGGAAAACAAGAAAAAAAATATTCTGAACAAAACAGTGATGTATGAGTTTTGTGGTTCATGCTGTGGCCACAGACATGTGACTTGACGGTGAGTTTGGGGTAGCCCAATGCAAAAATCCTGAGGATCCATGTGGATCCATGCTTTTTAACCACATTTTTGCGCCATTGTGGCCCCACGCAACAGTGCATGTGTGATTTTTTTTGGTGCAGGCTGTAGCCATGGACATGCTATGTGATCCAATGGTGAATTTGGGGTGACCCAATGTAAAAATCCTGAGGATCCATGGGCTTTTACCTCCCCCCTCCCAGGCAGCCTCCTTTATTGCTAGCGTCCCTTATCTCGCTCCCGATCGCTTGCCAATCAGCAGCTTTGTTTCAACACCCACTTCCCTCTTTCAAAAAAAGAAAAAAGTATGATCTGCTTTTTGCCCCTGGGCAATTCAGCTCCAGGGACCACGCATTCACTCCATAAGACACACAGACATTTCCCCTTGCTTTTTAGGAAGAAAAAAGTGTGTCTTATGGAGCAAAAAATACGGTACTCATCCACTGCCTGATGTTATTATAGCATTATATGACTGACATGTGGGTGGCACCACCCATCTGTCGAAGTTCACCCACAAGGTGGGGGGTGGAGAGATAAAGATCTGGCCTACTAGGCCAAAAAGGTCTCCAGCTCTGTATTAAACCATGCTTTAGTACAGAGGTTGGGATATATATATATATATATATATATATATATATATATATATATTTCTCTCAAAGGCCAACTGGACAGCTCAGTTCATACAGAATGAAACTCTTAATCTCTGGGTCATGGGTTTGAGCCCTGCATTGGGCATAAAGATTCTGGCATTGCAGGGGGTTGGACCAGAGGATTCTCTTGGTTTCTTCCAACTCTCCAATTCTATGATTCTAATATGCTGGTGGCACATTCCTTTTCTCTCTGTCTGCTGCTCTCCCTCACACCATTTCACTCTCCTTGTCACCCACATTAAGTTAGGTTGTAAAGGTAAAGGGACCCCTGACCGTTAAGCCTAGTCGCAAACGACACTGGGGTTGCGGCCCTCATATCGCTTTACTGGCCAAGGGAGCTGGCGTACAGCTTCCGGGTCATGTGGCCAGCATGACTAAGCCGCTTCCGGCGCACCAGAGCATTGCACGGAAACGCCATTTACCTTCCCACCGAAGCAGTACCTATTTATCTACTTGCACTTTGATGTGCTTTTGAACTGCTAGGTGGGCAGGAGCAGGGACCAAGCAACAGGAGATCACCCGGTCGCGGGGATTCGAACTGCTAACCTTCTGATGGCAAGCCCTAGGCACTGTGGTTTAGACCACAGCGGCACCTGTGTCCCAAGCTAGGTTGGGGTCTGTATAAAAGCTAGATGGTGGTAATGGTTAAATAAAAAAAGGGGGGGATTTACCAAAAGGAGGAGCAGGGGAATAAAACATAAAAATTCTGTAACTATATTAAGCACTTCCAATAGTTCACACACCCAAATGGCTGATGCCAGGCACTTTAAAGTAATATAATGTGTTTGCAACTAATGCATATATCTAAAAATCTATTTATCGCCACAGTCAAAGTGTGTGCATATAGGAGATGAGAATCAGGGGAAATGTCTAGGCTAGAAAGAGTCTCTACCCTTGAAGATACCCAGTCTTACTTTAGACCCTCCAGGGCCTAAAGTATATATTTAAAAACCTGCAATGACTAGGGGGTCAGAATGGGAGGCTGCTCAACTGCACATCACACCAACCATAGGCTCAAAATGCCCCTTTCTTATCCTAAGACAAACCCTCAGAACAGCCGTGGAGTCAAAGAGGGCAAGCTAACACATCAGCTTTCCACCATGAGTCTTTTATGGTTGGGCAGGAGGACTTGATCAGATTCTGTTCCCAAACATTTTCCAAAAACACCCTTGCATAAAAGACAATGCAGGATACCCAGCACCCCACGTTTCACACGCAGCAGTTCGTACCCTCAACCTTTTCAGAAAGACTTGTATCTGAAACTGTGGATAGCCCCTGCCAGTCCATGGAGGCAACACCAAGCAAGATGGAGCAATAATCTGATGGTTTAAGGCACCTTTACATACACTGATCAGCGGCCGAAAAACTGCTCTCTGGGATGGCATTTCCTATGCCAACTAAATGCAGCTTCACCCTTGCAGAAACATCAGTGTTAAACTGCAATATTCCTGTAAATATAATGCAGTCAGGAGTGATTTAAAATGCACACGAGTGATTTATTAGGATAATAACGAGGAAGACCCACACAAACCACGGAAGCAAAAGTTAACGCTTTTAAAATTATCCTTAATCCACCCCGATGTTGTCAGTTTATTAGAGTGGCTGGCCTTCCCTCTGCCCCCCAATTGACCCTCCAAGCCTTGATGATTTAAAAAAGAAAAAGGTAGCAAGCCTGCCAGTGATCAATGCTTCAAACCTCTTTCAACCCAGGATTTTACAGCTTTAACTGGAGAGTGCAAAAGGGCAATAGGCTTCCTCAAGACAAAGTCTTCTTCAAGCCAGGCCCTTTGTTCCTCCAACCAACCTTCCCACCTAAAAGGCAGAATGGGACTCCATCAGTTTCAGCCAGCAAGACCAATGGCCACAGATGATGGATGATCATCAAAGCTGACACAGGAGTACTGCAACATCTGGAGGACCACAGGTTCCCCTTTCCTGCCCTAGTCTAAAATTATTAGTTAGGCTGCCCCACATTCCCCACAGCTGCTGCTGCCTTGATTTCCCCTGAATGGAATGGAATAACATGCCTAACTATACTAAGAAGGGGTACAACAGTTATTTATTTCCTTCTTGGATTCAGGAAAAGCAACCAGATTTCAGGACAGAGTGAGGCAGGGGTGGGACAAAACCTAGCCATGAAGACTTGGCAGATATTTTCAGATATGACCTTGTTTGCTGCATTAGCCTTTGACAATATGAACCAGGTTAGTTTAGGAACAAAGGAAGCTGCATTATAATGAGTGAGACTCTTAGTCCATCTAGCTCACTACTGTCTACATTATCTGGCTGGGGCTCTCCAGTCCGAACTGGAGATGCCAGGGTTTGAACCTAGGACCTTCTGTATGCAAAACAGATGTTTTATCACCAATCTACGGCTGTGTTTGTTGCTATCCTTCTACAGTCCTGACTCTAGCTTTGTCTAGATGCAGGAAACAACTGATAGTCACTATATTTTGCAATGAAAAGACATTGGCTTTGCAGCATCAAGACACAAGCAGTTTCTAGAGATTCACTGAACAACTGAATTTATGTGAGAACTGGAAAAGGAAAAACTCACTTTCCTTCCATCTAGTACCATCCAAGATGTGCAGTAGCATCAATTTAAATCATGGGTGAGAAACCTTCTTCAGCCTGGGGGTGACATTCCCTCATGGAGAACTTTCCAGGGGCTGCATGCCAGTCAGTAGCAGGCAGGGGAAGAGGCAAAAATGTGATACTTATTTTATATGGAAGCCTATATTCCAGCCACAGGCAGGTGACATGCAATGTTATGGTTCAAGGACACATTTCAGCCTGGCAAAAACACCCAAGGAGTGTGCATAACGGAGCTGGTATGGGGCATGGCCTGGGAGAATCATGAGGGTTGGTCAGAGGTCTGGATATTTGTCCCCCACCCCCACCCCGGCTCGGCCTGAGATTACACACACGATTTAAACTTTATGCACATGGCCTTTATACCATCACAGCGCCACATTAAATGGATATCACATTTCATACTCCTTATCATGGGCACCATCACAGTGATGACGGCACCAACATTCATATCCTTTGTGGCAGTTCCAACCGTCTACAGATGGTTCACTTAACTGAAACAATAGATGTTGTGAGGAGTTGTACAATAGTACGCTTGCTGTCCAGAGTACCGCAAACGTAAAGGAGCATCTCTCAGTAGCTTCTCTATGTACACTTGGGCTGGGGAGAACAGCCTTGCTGAAAAGGAAGCAGGTTCACTAGCTGAATAGTACCAGGGTTTCTCTTTTGCAACCCTCAGCAGCAAAACATCAGCTTTCTAAAGGCATAAGCATGGAGACAAAGTCTTCCTTTGTCTTTTTGCCTTCCTGTGATTCATAGCATCAGCCCCAGTGATTGTTCCTGTGTGAAGCCTTCTTCAAGAGTTAAAAACACTTACAATGAATAGGTCATAGTCAAAATGCTAGTTATTCGTGATTCATCTCCTCCTACACAATCATAGTGCACACAAGTTATGAGCCTGAGACATTACCATAGAATCATATCATTGTAGAACTGGAAGGAGCTCCGAGGGTCAAGGGAATTTACTTTTGTCCTCATAATTTGTGCAGGTTTCTTAATTCATGTATTAATTACCTGCCCTCCAATCATCAATCCCAGAGCAGGGTACAATGTATGCAGAAAAGTCACTAATTTCATACAAGTCAATTGAAACAATAAAAAACTATCAAATCGCCAGCAGTGCACATTCAGAGCAACTAAGACAGAATGACTACCACTATGGGTTGGCTACACCCAATGCAAGTTACCAGCTTCACTCTGGCCCTCAGCCAGCCAACATCTGCCAAACTTCTTACATACAATCCATCCAGACCTGTCAGCCTCCTCACTTCTACCCCATGGAGGCAAAACCTGATGAAAGAAGACCGCCTGTCTTTGGCTCAGGATCCATCCTTCTCATGACCCTTTTTTCTTTAAATCTAACTTTGATGAGACCACCCTTCAAACAAGGCAACTTGTTCAAAAAGAGTCCTTCAAGACAGAGAATGTAGGATTGTCTCCAGATGGTCCTTCAAATAGAGGACTGTACTCTATTAAACAGGGAAAATGGACTAAGCCAACCCATGTTTTACCATGCCAAACATGTTGTATGAATCAACCCTCACTCTGGGCTAACCTACCATGATCATTGTGCCTATTTGCAAGTCTACCCATTTTCAGACAGATTATTCTCAATTCAGTCCTAAAGCATGCTTATACTGTGAAACGTTCAACCTTTTCAATGCTTAGCAGATGAGAACAGGAACTCTCTTGGCGATGCACTTAGTGAATTTTAGACTCTGGTCATAACCATCTTACTGGGGTGGGGGCTGCGCCTTTCAGATGGAAATGTGTGATACTTCATTTCCTTAAAATGGTCTTATATCCTCACTTCTCTTGAGGTGGTAATTTGTGTCTTACTTAGCTCTAAATGCAATGAGCTAGCCCAGTTTCATTTGAGGGGCCTCCTGCACGTTCTGCTGTGTGGGGTCCTAGATCTCCTCCCCCAAAGCCCTGCTCTGGGAAACCCAGCCAGATGGGCGGGGTATTATTATTATTTTTATTATTATTATTCCCCTGGACTTATTTGTGAGCCCCACCTCCATTCTCAAAGCAAAGATCACAACAATAAGACACACAGAATTGTTGAAATCCTTTCACCACTTCTTGGATTTTAAATTGACCATAAGAGTTTCCTTAATAAAAACAACTGAATAATGTTTTAACAGAGCCTGTGTGAAATTGCCTATTGAATTGCTGCAAGTCCAATGACATTCAGTGACATTTACTAGAGATAAGCAATGATGGAGCTGGAGATTTTTTTTAAAAAAGGAAGACTGCTTTAATGGAAGAGTCATGAAGACTGTGTCGGCACATCCCTCCCTGTTTTTTTTTCCTGAACCGCCAAACTCCTAAAGCTTTAGTTCAGTTTATCCACTGCTCCTTGGACTTACATTGACTCTCATTTGGAGACTTCCTGAAGTTGTTTCTGTAGGAGTGGCTTAGATTGGACATTGGGCTCCTTTGCATCTTCATTTTTCCTCCACCCCAACTTAGCCAATCAGGATTCCCCCAGGAAAGCATTGAATTAACCACAGGATTTTAGCAACCTCCCCAACCAATTTCAAAGTGGGTCAATCAGAGGCATGCATTTGCAATCTGTCTGATGCTTTCCTAGGCCTACACCGATTGTTCCCTCAATTTTATGCACAGGTATTAGTGCATAACAACTGACCCTAGCAAATAGGGTCATTTAGACCATCTGCAAATTCATTCCACAGTCTGAAATGTCAAAGCTGTCCTTATATAAACTAAGCAAGACTGTGCAGAATCTGAGTCTGTATCTGTGGCAAACTGCAAAGTCAACCTATATTGAGTTAAATAAGTACATGCTAAAGTGTGTCTGGTTTTTTGTTTTTGTTTTAACCAAGAACAAGTAGTGGGGTTCATGATTAGAACTGCAGAGCATGAGAGAGCTGTTAATCCTTTCCTTCATGACACGGTTCTGGTGGCAATCAGCCCCTGGCTGCTACTCACCTCAAGATGCCAACTTTCCTGCCAGGATGGATAGCAGTTGCCAGAGGCGTCAGCTTATGAGGACAATTTGGGGTGGGGGAGTCACACGCATCAGAACATTGTGAGGAGCCAGGGGAGGAACCCATTGCAGCAGCTGCTTGGCTTTGATGGCCACTGGATCCTCCAGCGGGAGGTTGCTTTGACCCTCCTTCCCCTCTACAGCAGCAGGAAGAAGACAAGGAACCTCCACACTTTCCAGACATTGTGGGGGGCCAGCCCCAACTCCCAAAACATGGGGGGGGGGCAAATGGGCTCTGCCCCTTAGAGCTGGCACCCTGACAGTTGGCAACGAAAGAGAAATATAGGCACACAGGAAACTGCCTTAGTCTATTTAGCTCAGTAATGGCTGCACTGAGTGGAGATGGTTCCCCTAGGGTTTTAGGCAGGAGTCCAGCAACCTGGGGCCTTCTGCATGCAAAGCAGATGTTCCACCACTGAGCCGCAGACCCTCCTGTGATACATAAGTAGCAGTCAAGTACAACATTCCTTGTTTTCCTAGAGTGGACATGCAAGGGAATGTTTTGTCCAGCCAGTCGAAAACTTCCTGTTTCCTCTTGGCTGGGACATACTTCCTTTGCATGTGACTAGAGGTGGGTGTGACCTTACCTGTCCAGGTAAAACAAAAGGACAAGTCATGCAGCACTCTCTCTCTCTTTGACTTCCTCCATCGTTCGAGCAGCTTTTTAGCTAGAATTGTTAGCTTTCAGCCAACAGACGACACTGGGATTATCTCCATATGGGATAGATCCACATGTATATACTTTGTAACTAAGTCTGCCTTCAGGGATCCAACTGTGAACTGATGATGTGAGTAAACTCCTTTTACTGACTTTAAATAAGGTTGCCATGTGTTTATTCTTTTAAGAGGGATATAAGGGAACTTACCCGGAACCTAATAGTGAGAGGCTTACACAAGCCTGCAACCAGCTATCCACTGTGCGTTTAAAAGGGGAATGTAAACTCTGCTAAGTAAAGGAATTTGCAAACGCAAGTTAGGAAGGATATTAATAAACAATATATCCTCTCCTGCCTCCCTGAACATTCCCACACCTCCCAATCAAGACCATGATTTGTCAAGAGCATGGCCCACAGGGTGGGAAGACGAATCCCCTCCATGTGAGTTGTGGTCAAAATCCAGATCAAGAGTGATTTGTGTGTGATTTGTGCATCATTTAATGTATCATATACTTTTGGCTTAAGACTATTTGACATCAGACACATACGCATCAGCTATTTGGTAAGAAAGACTGGCCAGCCTTTTGCAAGCAATAACTATGTGCCAACGTTTTTATACAGAGCTGTACTTAATAAAAACAAAATAAAATGCCCTGCACTGATGGCATTGCAATTTATCTGTAACTAACATGCACTCCGTGACTCAGACTTTGCCAGTCCATTTTGTTCAGCTCTAAATGAGACCAAGATTGTGTTGCTTGCACTTCTAATCTCGCAAAACCCCACGGGCAATACCATACGTGCCATGAGGGAAGGATTGCTAATTTATGTAAAATATTACAGAAAATGATCTATATGACAGGTTTGATATAAAATGTTAAATGCAAGCCATTACTCACTGAAGATAATTTGAAACAGTACCATGTCAAGGGAGTCATTAGATTAGAGGATAAAAAGTAGGAATAGGTATTCAGATATTTAGACATATTTGCATAATCATCTGAAGGAGATAACAGATGCTCTCCTGGGCCCAACTAGCACACAATGAATAGAACAACAGTTTGAAAACTTTGCATTTTCTTCACATAGTGTCATAACACAGATCATACTCCCCCTCCCATCTTTGTGCTTTCAAGTGTGCTAGTAGAATCTGTTGTTAGGGAGAAAAGACAGCGGCAAAGGAAGCAGGGGAAGATAGTTTGGGGGAGCAATGGAGTGGCAGAGAATGGATTTTATTCAGGAGTGGGGAACCTTTGGCCTCTGAGCCAATCTTGGGCCACCAGGGAATCCAATTTGGTCTGTGAGCCCATTTTCCCCAAACCACACCCACTTGTCAGCAGCCAATCAGAATGGTGGAGATAACAGATAGAATCATAGAATTGTACAGTTGGAAGGGACCCCAAGGGTCATCTAGTCCAACCCTCTGCAATGCAGGAATCTCAACTAAAGCATCCCTGACAGATGGCCATCCAACCTCTGCTTAAAAACCTCCAAGGAAAGAGAGTCCAGCAGCTTCCAAGGGAGTCCATTCCAATGCCAAACAGCTCTTACTATCAGGTTTGCATTGGCTGCTCCCAGCACATTATTTAACTGCCATTCACCAGCGTAAAAGTGGGCGTTAAATCCCATTAACTTTGGCTGTGTGCACCTGTTCCAGAGAAAAGCACAAATAGCCAAAGAAAGCCTGTAAAATACAGGCTTCTTCCTTTATCCTGCCCAAGGTGGAGGAGAGAGAGAGGAACTTTGCAAGCCCAGGGCTCAGCACCCCCCAAAGTGCCAAGCAAAGGGCTAGAAGCACCTGTTTGTGCTGTGCTTCCGAAGCACGCAACAACCAGCCGGCTGCCAGGCTCTTGGGAACCCTGCTCAAATGATCTTGTCATGTGGGCAGGAGAAAGCACCTGACAAATTTGGCCCACAAGGCTGATCCTGATTAGGATCTGGCCCACTGAGCCACAAAGGTCCCTCCTTGTTTATTCCATGATATACAGCAGGGGAAGGGACGCAGGTGGCGCTGTAGCCGAAACCACTGAGCCTAGGGCTTGCCGATCAGAAGGTCGCGGTTCGAATCCCCACGAAGGGGGGACCTCCCGTTGTTCAGTCCCAACTCCTGCCCACCTAGCAGTTCGAAAGCATGTCAAAGTGCAAGTAGATAAATAGGTACCTCTCCTGTGGGAAGGTAAACGGTGTTTCTGTGCACTGCTCTGGTTCACCAGAAGCAGCTTAGTCATGACTCAGAAGCTGTATGCTGGCCCTCTCGGCCAATAGAGCGAGATGAATGCCACAACCCCAGAGTCGTACACGACTGGACCTAATGGTCAGGGGTACCTTTACCTTTATAAAGCAGGGGAGGGCATTCGGTGGTGTGGGTCCACCTGCAAATCCTGGGCCTGATTAATGAAGGCCCCAGAGTTACCTGACTTGGCTTTCTTTCATTTTGCATTCTTGCATCGACACTGGAAAATCGCAAGAGAGAATCCCATCCAAGCATTCTGAGTGGGGCTTACGTAAACGTGACGGTGGGGGAGAGTGTGCTTCGGCAGGCTAACTCCACCACCACAACCCATCCCTAGGGACAGGCAAAGTTCTCTCAGTTTCTCCTCCCTCCTCGCAAATGCAAATTCTGTTCTTCACATTTCCCACCAGTTTGTCATTTATGTTTGCATTTTAGTGCAAACCTCTCCTACTATGCATAGTTTTGCATGCTATTTTGCTTTATATGCTTTTTTTTTTTGAGGCGCAAATCACTTTCCCCTAATTAGCATGTTATTTTCATGGATACATGCATTTACATGCAAACATTACCCTGGTATATGACATTTTGTACACATCACTTGCCTGTAGCACACAAGTCATCTGTTCACATAATTATATACAATTTTTTGGAAGCACATTTGGATGAGGAGGAGGAGATACTATCTTACCAGTGATTAAAGTTTATACCCTATGCTTGTGGCTAGTGACTGTGGGTTGTATCCAAAGTACTGCTGAGCAACATGTCCCAAATAGCATAATGATTGCTTCTTGCACAATGGAACTCTCTCCACTCTCCTCCCTTAGGTACCTCCCAAAATGTGTGCTGGGGTCCCTCAACCCTCCAGAGGGTGCAAGGAACATGGAAGGGTGGGGCAGAGAGGAGAAAGCCCCCTTGTGCAAGAGGATATGTTCATTGGTTACCGCCCAAAATTTCTTGTTTATGCCCTTTGATGTCGTAAAGCACCCCTCCAACCTTAAGGTTAGTAAATAAAAATAAAATAAAGTTTCACCTGCCCATTGGTAAACTTGGGAGAAATTTGGTCAAGGATTAAAGAACTTTCAGAGCATCATCAGCATACTGGAAAGGTATTCTCAGAGAAGGTTTTCCGGAATATCCAAAAGAAACTAATGGAGCGTTAAAAAAAAATAATTAGGTTGAATGTGGCTTCCACACCTTGAAGGCTGACATCTCTGCACTTCTCGTATTGTGCATTCTATGGCAACCGTGTGCTTACCCAAGACCTTTGGAATGGCTCTGTCTGGAGCAGGGAGGCTGGCATTCAAGACAGCTCTTTATCTGTCTGAATAGCTGTGTGCGCGCGCCTCTGATTATCCCAGATAGTAGACTAACACTGTCTCAGACAGATAAGCAGCTCAATATTATCCAGCACTCCATTAAGGAATTTAACTGAATCTGCAATATATTGCAGTCCCCTACCTTGGAAACTAAATTGGTCTTTGAAGTCAGGAGGACAGCTGCTGCTGCTGTTGCTGCTGCTGCCATACATGGAGAAATACAATATTAGCTTTTAAACAAGGGAGAGCATATTTTTTTTAAAAGGAAAGAAAGAAAGAAAAAGAAATGGTTGTTTAATAAGAAATGTTTGCTGTCGAGTGCAGATTTGTAAAAGCCTTATATAGGCATATTCATACAGCCTAAGCTGAACTGCGTCTGCAAAAAATTACAAGAGCATCCACGACATTGCCTGTTTTGTGTGCCTTAGTCTCATACAGGCGACACCAGATGGTAAGGACAAGGGGCCAGTGGGTGAGAACCAAGTTCTCCAGGAGAAATCTAAGAGGCAATCTGCACACATTTGGATATCACCATTAAATCATTACCGTCAACAGACCAGAAAGAAGGCAAAAAATAAAACTGTGCAATGCACCACACTCTAAAGTACAGAGCGAAATACAAAAGAGTTACTGTATTTTTCGCTCTATAAGACGCACCAGACCACAAGACGCACCTAGTTTTTGGAGGAGGAAAACAAGAAAAAAAATATTCTGAATCTCAGAAGCCAGAACAGCAAGAGGGATCGCTGCGCAGTGAAAGCAGCAATGCCCCTTGCTGTTCTGGCTTCTGGGATAGCTGCACAGCCTGCATTCGCTCCATAAGACGCACACACATTTCCCCTTACTTTTTAGCAGGGGAAAAGTGAGTCTTATAGAGCAAAAAATACGGTATTTATTCTGTTTATATCCCACATTCCCTCCAAAGAGAAAAACATGGTTCTCTTCCTCCCCATTTTATCTTCACAACAACCCTGTGAGGTAGGTTAGACTGAGACATTGTGACTGGCCCAAGGTCACACAGTGAGCTGCATGGCTGAGTGGGGATTTGAACCCAGGTCTTCCTGGCCAACACTATAACCACTATGCCATACTGATGCTCCATGTGCAACATAAATGCCATCAGCTCAAGTATACACATCTACAAGAGAACAAATGGCCTAAGTAACCTTAAAAAGCGATCCTTCCAGCTTCAGATGGCTACTTCCCTTTCTAAGATAGCAGCTAACTCCTAGGGGCCAAGGTCCCTTTGCAGCCACCCCTCAATAAAACATTTGAGGGGGCCAGAGCCCCACAAAGTTTACGGTTGGAAATTGCCATTTGGGTGTTGTGTGTGTGCCATGTCTTGTGATCAGTTCTGTAGGGCAGGGCTTACCTGCCCCCCATATTTTATTCAATTTAGCACCTCTGGTTCCGAACATTTCAATATCAGCCACTCTCATGCATTCCAACTGTCTCACAGTGCAATCCTATGTGTGTCTAATCTCTTGTGGCAGTTTTTGCTACCTGGTGCCCTTCACTTCCATCAGTCCCAGACAACATAGCTGAGTTGGTCGGTATCAGGGAGAATCCAGAAGAGCAAGTGGCAGAAGAGGCAGAGCAGGGGCTCAGGGATGCTGTGGAACCCTTCACCCGCCCAGAGACAGAGGAAGAGAGGGAGGAGATTAGCCAGGAAGAAGAAGGGCTCAGGGATGCTGCAGATCCCTTCAACCAGCAGCCTTTCTCAACCTGTCGCTTCCCAGATGTTGTTGAACTACAACTCCCATCACCCCTAGCTAGCAAGGCCAGAGCTCAGGGATGGTGGGAGTTGTAGTCTGGCAACATCTGGGGACCTACAGGTTGAGAACTGCTGGCCCAGAGGCTCGGGAAGGGAGCTCAGACTCTGGAAGGGAGGGGGGGCTTTCACATCAGCACAGACAAGGAGGGAAATGAAACGTAAGGATCAAAGAAGTCTCATGCGATTCCCACGCCTACTTTGTTGGCACGGGAATCAAAGGAAGCCACTCCCTGAACCTGACTCAACGGGTTCAGACGCGTAATCCCGAACTGTAGCTGTTTCTTGTACATATGTAATAAAGACTGTCAATACCCATCTGACTGTGTCGGGGTGTTAATGCGAAGGGGAGACACCACCTTGACAGTTGGGACTGCTAAAATATCTGGAAAACCCAAGTTAGTGAAGGTTGCTCTATGGCGTTTCAACAAACTTACTCCCAAGGTTGAGTGTGTATAGCTTTGCAGCCTTATTTACTGGGAACTGGTGATTTCTTTTTTTCCTGGTACCTGTTCCTGATAAGCCATGGTCCCTATTTCTGCTTTTGGGAAATCCTGTTTTGTGATGTTATAATCATGATGCCCTCCAGAAGTTGTTGAACTACAGCTCCCTTCATCCCATTAGAAATGCTGACTGGGGCTGATGGGAGTTAGGAGTCCGACAAAACCTGGAGGCAGCACATCAGCTATCGTTCTTCCAAAAGATACATTTCCGAGGGGAGGGTGGAGAGATCCTCTTCCTCTTATTCCTGTTACTACTTTAATTTGTGCATCCTTTTCCCACACTGATATTGGACCCAAGTCAGCTCACAATGCAAGAACAGGGATGCACAGCAATGCATTGCTACACTAAATAACCTATTGCCAATTTATTTCAAAACATAAAATAGCAATCCAAGCAAACAACCATTCACCTCAACCTTAGTGCAAATGTATGTAAACATAAATGCACCATGGCACACTATAGCACAGCACATAAGGGATGGGCAAACATGTCCATTTCACTTTCTCTCTCATTTTTCCAATCCTAAATTCAATTTCCCACGTTTCAACATAAGTTTGTGATTTCACTTTAAAGTCCTCATGAAAATTTGTCATCATTTCCTTATGATTTTCTCCTACTCTGCACATTATTATTATTTTTACTTTCCCCAAGTATCCACATTTTTGCAAAGCATTTCACCCTATTTCCCCCAAATTATTCATTCATAGGCACACTTTACAATAGTCAGTGCATATCTGCGCACGCTACCTTGGCATTGCAAAATGTTGATGAATGAAGATTTTGAAGGGTAGCTGTGTTTGGGTAAGTTCACTTTTCAATGCGAACTGAATCGGATTTCTCCCCTTACACAGCCTACCATTTCACACTGCAGCTGTTGGGATGTTAGCGGAGGGGTAGTACCTCTGGTGGGGGACACATAAGTTGAATGGCATCTTGTACTCCTCCTTCTGGCAACTTTTGCTATCAAGCTGGTCCCAAATGTATTGCTCGGTTTTCCTTTGGATCACACCAGCAAGGCTGGTCATTTGGGCAACCCAGGACCTCTACACACACTGCCCAGTCTTGTGCCCTGGAACACTGGCAGAGGAAGGTGGGTTTGGGGGGACACCACCCTGGGTATCATCCCTGGGGAAGGGGTGACAATCGGCACAGCGGCACAGCAGCTCCCCCCTTCCCCTGACAGCTCACAGTAGGTGTGGGAGTCACGGGAGGGCACCCTCCAAGCCCCGCCCCACCTCGGGAGTGCACCCGCCCTGGGCAGTGCGGGCATAAGCTCTGCCACTGCCCTGGAGAAGTCACTTCAGTGCTGCTAATGCAGCAAAAACAACACAGGAGGCAGCAGTTACATGTTACACTCTCTGCAGCCATTGCAGGTGCTATGATTCTCCAGCAGTTAAACTTCACCACCAGAGGCATACTCCATTGACTCTCAAGACAGGCGGATGCCAACTAAGCTGCTGAAGTGGATTTTGAAATGTTGGTATCATTCCAATGCTTCATCTAAGACACACGTGGATCTCAGTAGAAATGGTCTGGACTCTTGTTCAACATGTTATGTGAGTAGTGTGGCATCTGTGACCCTCCAGATGTTACTGGACTCCAAATCCCATCATCCCTGACCATTGGCATTCTGTATTCAAACTGAAGGCCTGCGGAAAACAGTTGAGAAAGCCAGACAGATACTTTTATGCAATTTATGTTGTACACTTCAAATAAAGGGGGTGGGTATACGAAAGTGTTTTCATATGCAGGGAAAAGTGCCTCAGTGTAGAATATAGTTTTCAACCTGATTAGGAAGGATACAAATTTGAATTCAGATGAGCCAACCAAGTCTCTATAAACAAGTAAGATTTTGCTAACAGATGCAGGTGTTTTTGCACACAAAAACATATGGTATCTTCAACTGCAATTGGGATTTGCACTGCTGCGTTTCTGTTTTTTACCATTAACTCTGTGTTTGCATTTGGATGTAGTGAGGCTGCAATAAGCATTTTCAGACACTGTTCTGTTGTTTTATTATTATTATTACCACTGTGAAAATAACCTATCCAGATAGGAAGGAAAGGAGTCTGTCCCCAATGACATGCCTCAAATGTCTGTGAAGTTTGCTGCCTTGGATATAATAGAAAGCACATGGAAGCTGGATAATTTTAAAAGCAGGAACATATTTTGCTGAGGAGCCATCTTGCATCCAAGATTGATGGGGCCTGGCACACGTCACATGTGTGTGACATCATATGTGATGTCACATTGCTGGGAGTCAACCAAGCGTTGAGCTGGCACAGTTTGGCTTCAGTGGCCAGTGGCTCCTCCCCTCTTAAGCTCAGGGGGAGCCTACGATGTGCTCGGCTCCGCACTCAACCTCCTCTGCCCCCTCAACATTATGGGGTCCTGGCCCCCTGCCAGCAGTTACTGAGGGGGCTGAAGACACCTCAGCCCTATAGAGTTGGTGTGTCTGTATTACAGCATTTTATATGTTATAGGTGTCCATGTTAGGAGGAGAATCAAGATGGTGGGTGGGTGATACTTGCACATCTCTCTATAAGGGCACTGGGGAACATGTGGCAAGTATAGTGTTGTATACGTGTAGGACACTCTTCACATGATCAGCTCTGCTCAGGCTGGGTTTTGGGATTCCCCTCCATCAACACCACCCCAGCTATATAAGAAGGCCATGCCTTGCCCAGGGCAACCCAAAGCGACTGACAACCAACCAATCATTCTTACTGGATTAAGATGTTCATTGTCTCTTTTTAAACACAGGAGGAAAGAAGGAAGGAAGGAAGGAAGGAAGGAAGGAAGGAAGGAAGGAAGGAAGAAAGAAAGAAAGAACCCTTTGATACTCACAGTACTCTCGCTCACTGGCTACACCTGACATTAGTCAGAGTAGAAATTAGCAGACATGACTCACTTAGGTCCAGTGATTTCGGTTAGTCTGCTCTGAGTACAACTTAGTACAATAACAACCCTGTGATTGCAGACATGCTGCTACGTTGAAGAAACAGGGGGGTTATACAAAGATCAGCTACAAAGACCAAAAGAAAAATGAAAGCCTCAAAACCTGAAGGAAAAATTCAGAGAGAAATCAATAGCCTATTGCTCGAACCATTTAAAATTTATTGGATGCACCTAGGAAAAGTAGAAGGGGAGCCGAGTGAGAAAGTCATCATCCTGCAGCCTGGAGGGTAGGAATGCATCAGTGGCTTAACACACATTTCCAGGCTACCACCTCACAGCTTTGTCTCATGAACGGTTTCTTTCTTTGAGCCGAAATAAAAGGAGGTGAATCACTCATTATGGATAACTGTCAGACAGCTCAGGATTGGAATCTATGGTTTCCTTAGTAAAGGGTCGGATTGTGTGTTTGCGTGTGATGAATTTTCTGCATGAGATATCAAGGTCATTTGCTGTTGGCATAACCGAAGAGAGGGATTCTTCCCATAATAAGATGCCACAGAGTTGAGTAATTTCCCTACAACAATAGGCAATACTTCGAAGTCCTGAACAGGCAAAGGACCCCATTCCAAAAACTGCTGGCTTGGCAGTCAACTTCTGAATGAAAACTGTGTCTTTGTCTGATCACCTGGATTCACTTTCAGTAGTCTGACATAGCAGAGAAGCTCCAATTCCAAAAAAAAAAAAAGCCTCAAAGCAGATATGAGGAAGGTTTGGCCCACCAGTTATTACTGAACTATAACATCCATCAGTCCCAGCCAGCATGACCAATGGTCAGGGCAGGGGCAGAGCAAGGAGGTGTGATGGGGGTGGTCTGCACCAGGTGTCACCCTGAAGGGGGGGTGACATTCGGCACGCCCCCTGCCTGCGATTCCCAAGCCTGCAGAGAGCGACGGCCCAGGCAGCCCATAGGGACCGCCGGCAAAGCAGCAAAGCTCCCCCACTTCCACCCCTGGTTTGCTGTAGGCTTGGGAGTCATGGGCAGGCACCATTGCCCTGGTGTCCGCACTCCCAGCTGGAGGAGGAAGGCAGGCAGGCAGAGGAGAAGACGGGTGTCTTCCCTGAAGGGGGGTGACTTTCGACTCCGAAGCCTACAGCAAGCGGTGGCCCCGGTAGCCCATAATAAATAAATAAATAAATAAATAAATAAATAATAAATTTTATTTATACCCTGCCCTCCCCAGCCAAGACCGGGCTCAGGGCGGCTAACAACCAATAATAAAAACAAGTTGATTGAAATACAACTTAAAAACAAGATTAAAATACAACATTAAAACATTAAAATACAGCCTCATCACAGGAGGAGAAAGGAAAAATGAAAGAAAGAGGGGGAGGGAATCAAATTGATTCCAAGCCACAGGCCAGGCGGAACAACTCTGTCTTACAGGCCCTGCAGAAAGAAATCAGATCCCGCAGGGCCCTTGTCTCATGAGACAGAGCGTTCCACCAGGCCGGAGCCAGTGTTGAAAAGGCCCTGGCTCTGGCTTGCCACCGGCCAAGCTGCAAATCTCCCCCCCTTCCCCCAGCTCACTGTAGGCCTGGGAGTCGTGGGCAGGGGGGTGACAAAAAAAATTCTGCGCCGGGTACCACCTGACCTTGCTATGCCTCTGGGTCAGGGGTGATGGGAGTTGTAGTCCAGCAACATCTGGAGAATCCCAGGTTACCAGTCCCTGGGGTAAAGACTCCAAGGCTGCTCTTAGCATCTGGGGAGGTTATAAAGCAGGAAAGAGTTCCTTTAAACATCCTGGTTCTGGAACTGAATCCAGGTGTTGAGACAAATAACTTTTTTTTTCAATTTCAAGGGACACTGATTCCCTTTTTCTATCATGCCACCTGTGTGCTATAAATGGCTAATAAAGTTATGATGGCTGCTAAAATTATTGTGGGCTACTATATTTCAGTCAAATTATCATCTGTAAGGTCAAGTTTTTAGGTAACTACATTTATTCATATTAAACAAAAGTCCTTCGTGCCCATGAAGATGAAAATCATATACAGCAACAAATGTTCTTGCAACCTCTGAAGAACTCGTGAAGGTCATTTACGAGTTTTTGGAGTTGTTGCTTTTTTCTTCAATAAAAAAACCCACAGAATTACTTCTTGATAAAACTTTGGGATTATCTCTCATTGAAGTACTCAAAAGGAATCCCAAAGGCATTGAAAATGTCTTCAAAAATATGGTAATAATCCTTTGTAAGTATTGTTTGTTAAACACACCTGGCACACAAAAGTGTTGGCTCACCTTTAAAAGCTCTTCCTACTCATCTTGTTTGCTAAAAAGCAAAAGGAAATCAGCAGCAAAAAAGGCCCCTCTTCCTTCACTTCTGGGCTTACCACTTGCATCAAGCTAGGAACATCATAAGCTGTCCAATATTGAGTCACAGCCCTGATCCACCCTGATTAATTTTGCCTATACTTTATCTCTCCCTGTTCTACCTAAAGATGCTGGAAACTCAACCTGTGACCCTCTGCATGCAAAGCAGATGTTCTACCACTGAGCTACAGCCCTTCCCTAAAGTTTAGGTTGTACATCTTGAGACAAGAGTTAACATAGTGTTGTTGTTGTTATTAAATAGCAGATGCAACAAGATAGCTCATACCAATAACTAACTTAGTTGGTCTCTAAGGTGCTACTGGAAGGACCTTTTTTATATTGTTTGGACTACGGCAGACCAACACAGCTACCTACCTGTAACTAGTTTTCTTCTGCAACTCCTTTGGCCAGTGAGGCTGCAAACCCTCACACCATACTCCAGAGAGCATCTCTAATCTCCCACCCCAATGTTTCTGGCAAGGAAAAGTCTCTAAATCATTAAAATCACCACACCTCCTATGAACTGGTCCATGCCATCTCTTTTCTGGTCATTGATGCCTGACAAAAAGTGACTTGGTCTTTCCTCTCATACAGAGCAGTGTTAGAAGCTGGGGTAGAAAAGCTAGGAGCCAAATGGCTTCTGGGACCTGGGTTGTGGGCACCAAAATAGACTGTCTAGTCACCTGTGTGTGTGTGTTTCAGCATCACTTTATTTATTATTCTGATAAGCATGAGTTGATATGCAATTCACATAAGTGATGCAATGTTAATACATGTTTAATTTGGTGTTTACAATAAAAAATTTGGTACCATACTTCAGCTTTCAAAGCACTTTATTCTTTATTGTTAAACTCAATGACGTATTGTCTATTCTTAACATATACTTTGGGGCTTCAAAACACATACATTTTAGTAATCCTTGAGTGTCAGCCAGACGCAAAAAGTGGCACCCAGACTTTTTGAGGTGCTCGCAAATGGAGAATCTTTAGGCACAAAATGCACCTGGCGTCCTGCTAATTTTGAACCCTGATACAGAGCAGCTATGAAACTACAGTTAGCTCAGTATGCTGCATCACAGTTGCTCAAAGAAGTGGAAATCTGTCAGCATATTCTTGGCTTGCTCAGAGATCTGCAGTGCCTGCCAATTTGTTACTGGGCTAAATCCAGTGTGTTATAAAGGACTATATAAAGCCCTCAGCAGCTTGGGACCAATTTACTTGAAGGATTACTTTACCCTATATGTACCCACTCAACTGCTTTGATCTGTAGAACATGATGCTCATTCCACACTTGTAAGGAACTGACCTTTTAGCGTGGCAGCTCCTATAATCTGGAACTCCCTGCCCAGTGACATGAGGCAGGCACCTTTGCTGTCCTGTTTTTGGTGCCTGCCTGTTTTGGCAAGCCTACCCAGGCAGGTAATTTTAACTGCATTAAAAAATGCCGATTTTACTTATGTTTTGAGAACCGTTTATGTCACTATGTTTTTGAGCATTGCTCTGAGTGGTATTTCGCAAGAGATGCTGTAGGTGGTGCTTGATAAATTGCTTAGAAGTTTTCTGTTGAGAATATGCAGTTTGTTAAGTAAAAGAATTGTGTCAGAGCTCTTAGCCTTGCCTAGACATGTGTCAAGGGTTCTCTCCATCCAAAAGAAAGCACACACAGACAGATGACTCCTTATTGTCAATGAAAACACAGCCGTTTCCGCAACTCTGGATACCTACGCACATCAATCTAGCATCTAGTCAGCTACAGTGGTACCTCAGGTTAAGAACTTAATTCATTCCGGAGGTCCGTTCTTAACCTGAAACTGTTCTTAACCTGAGGTGCCACTTTAGCTAGTGGGGCCTCCCGCTGCCGCCATGCTGCCCACCGCACAATTTCTGTTCTCATCCTGAAGCAAAGTTCTTAACCCGAGGTACTATTTCTGGGTTACCGGAGTCTGTAACCTGAAGCATCTGTAACCTGAAGCATCTGTAACCCGAGGTACCACTGTATTCCCAGGTCCGTGCTCTATTGAAGGGACCAGTTTATGTATCTTCCCCCAATGGGCTGCATGCATGCAGCCTGAGACTACACCTGCATGGAAACTTCCTCTGCTCATCCCTTTTCAACCTGCTCTTGGATTTGGGAGACAGTGGTGCAGGAGAGGGTGGGGGAACACCTGGCCTTTTGCTTGCCTGACCTTTCTCTTCCTCCTCTTCTTCTGAACCATCCTGTGCTCCACCCTCCAGTTCTGAAGCTACTCCTACCTCCAGCTTTTGCCTCTTGGCAAGCACAGTTCCCCACAAATCACTGGCCCTCTCTCTCCCCAGTCCCCTCTTCCCCCAGTGCACACTCATCGGTGACTTGCCAGCCACTGGCACCCACATGCTACTCTCATGTAGGGCATATGCAGTATATGATTATGGTAGAGTGGGGCAAGGCTAGATCTTCTTTCTTCAATAACCACAAGTTGGGCGTGATTCTTGGAAGAGAAATTTGAACATGCAATCTCCTAGTTGTGCGCAGGGTCTCTGCACAATCCAGACACCCACACAACCTGATCATGCAGAACCCCTCCATGTGAATAGATATTTGTCAGTTTGGATTTCTCTGCAGGCAGCTGCTCCCAACACATGGTTGTTGCAGAAAGGTTGTTGCAGGGGTGAGGCTAGAAGCACAATCTTCTCCCCCATCATTACAGGTTTGCCCTGCACATGAGTAGTGCATGACTAGGGCTTACACTGTATACACATTCTTGCTATGTACATGCGTTTGCAAAAGTGGTCGCTAGAATGAATAGGTAAGTGTTCCTATCCAACAGGGCTAGAGCCAGAACACAGCAGTAATGGACGCCTGTTGAAACTCACAACTCTGGAGGGAGCAAACTGCCAGCAGGATGAGTCCAGCAACATCCTTGTTCCTCCTCCTTATTCTCAGTGCCAGTTCGTTTTCAAAATCCAGGTGAATGACCAATGGCCTCTGTTCACCTTGCCCTCTTTTTCTCTGAACAGCTGCATGCTTTTGACCAAAAGGGAAAGAACAACAGGAAATTGTGTCACTCGTGGAAAATTATGCCCTGCTATGGATATCCCGTTCCCCC